GACTCTGCATACAGACTTGTGAGTATGAAGCCTTTGCCGGCTTGCATGTTATCTCTGTGACTTTGTAAAATCACTTATGCTGGGGCAGTAAGAGCTGGCAACCCATCTTCTGTATTTCATCATGACTTTAAACGAGTCAATGACGTTTGAAGTCCAGGGAAGGTCGTTGACAGATTTTCTTAAAGTTAAAATAAAATATTGCAGCATGTCAAATTAGCATTATCTCTTGGAAATAGCATGAAGAGCAGTGTACAGGAGTTATTTAGTTGACAATCGTTTTAGCGAAGTTCTGTTCCTTTTGGCAAGTCCATCACCTCTAGGAAGAGAACCAGCATGCCAGAAAGTCTGTTTCCGGTAAGTTTCCCCTTAAAAAAGGGGGGGAAAGATAGGACCAAGACTGGTTTTGTCTCCAAGGAAGTTCAGTTTTTCAGCACTGCGTTTGAACTTCAGGAATTATGTTTTGTAGTGGGATAGGGAAGTGACAGAAGTGTGGGTTTCTGTGGAAGGGTGGGTGATTTTAATGAAGCATCAGGATCTGGTACTGCAGCTAATGAGAAATTGCAGTTTGTATTTCATACATCCAAGAAAGAGGCCTCCCATGGGAGCAAACAGCCCAAGTTTTCCTGCTTTCTGCGGAGCCGAGCTCAAGGCCACAGCAGTCCACTGGCCAGGCTCTGGATACTCCCCCTTGGTGCCAGAATCTTCACTCGGGTACCACCATCAAGTGTGGTATATACGGGTATACCCACGATGTGTTTAACTTAGAGATCACGCTTTAAAGCGGTGGGAAGAGTGGGTGAAAGCGTGTGATAGACAGCTCGAACATGCACGGCTTGGTTCTGGGTCCGTTTTAGCTTTTCCTTTTTTAAGCTTGTGTTGCTGTCTGAGTGGCGGCACAGGCTTGTTTTCCTGATTAAATACCTTTCCGTACTTCTCTAAGGAGACTTGGCAGGAGGCGAGGCTTTGGGGAAATAAAGTTTCAGGTGGTCAAGACCTTTTTACAGGCGACACTGAGAAACCGGAACCATCTCGTCCCCTCTTCTGCTTCTGGTGCTGTGCTGTACCCTTAGAGGAGCTATTCTGGGAGCTCGGGTGTGCACAGCATTTTAGCAGCTACACAAAATAAAGAAATATAAGAACAAAAGATTGCTCTGGACGGTCAAACTGGAATGAGTTGGAAGGCTACATTTAGGAAGTGGTTTCTTGGACACTAATTAGGACCATTTGCTTGGGGTTGCCATTATTTTCCTTTTAGTCTGGAGGGCACAATAGATCAAATGATTTATATATCATTAACAATTCTTGTTAACCATAAGCAGGGTTGGGTTTTCCATACTGATTACTGAGCAGTGCAGTAAAGACTTGTTTTATTTCTCCTCCAGTGTCCATATGAGCAAGTTAATGGGAAAGACCAGCCCAAAAAGAAGCGCTTCAACTCACTTATACTTTTTAATGTGTGAATATTAACATCTTCCACCCTGTGAAACCAAAGCCCATCAGCCCTTTGTGGCTTCCACAGTTGAAATACTGGCGTTTGCTCTACCTGATCCTGGCTCCCAGTGAATGCATTTTAATTGCAATAAAACACAAACTGAACCATATGTGCACGTGTGTTTCGGATGCCGCATTGTTGATCCCCCTTTCCTTTTCTTCTGAGCTACAAGTAACGGGTTAGAATCTCATAATACGGTGGATTTCACTTTAAAGCAAACTAAGAGAGCGAGCATATGCATTCATTAAAACTCCACGGATTTATTTAACGTTGCTTTTCTATGCGCCGTGATGTCCAAGATGACTGTGGTACGCCCAGGAGTTTCGGGAGGGAGGGAGGGGCGGGGAGGGACGTTGTGTCGTGTGTTGTGTTGTGCAGCCTTGTGTTGATGTGAGCACCGGGCGCTGCTCTCCACCGGCAGCTGCGGGCTCCCCGGGCTGCTCTCCCTCGGGCGTGAGCCCACCCCGTTCGGGGCGCCGGGGGATGCTCCGGCCTCCTTGTGCGATGAGTCTGGGGAAGCCGAAGCAGCAGAGTGGCATCCGGCCAGGAGCCCTTCAGAAGAGAGGCCGGGGGAGCCGCCGACTGCAGGCCGAGCCAGGGGTCCTGCCACGGGTCTCCGGGGGGTTGGTGGTGGGGGGATCCTGCCGCCGTGGGGCAGGGACGAGGAGGCTCCCTGACACACTCATTACCGGATTAAACCCCCGGCACTGAGATGGGGGATGGAAGAAAGAAAGGCTCCACAGAATCGCTTCGGTTCCTGAATAATTTAAATTCTTTGTATTTGATTGAACATCGGTCTGTTTGGTGTCCAAGTTTGTAAAAGCCTTTGAAAGACAAAACAATTCTGTTTGCAAACATAATATAAAGTGTAAAGCGCACTACAGATACTCATGAGCACCCAGGAGGTACCGAGCACTCCTGTACGGTAGAGGAGGCAACCTTGCCAGGAGCTCCTTCATCTTTGTTTCATTAACACGAAAGTTCCCCTTTATTTCCTGCTAGAGTTACTGATATCCGGACTACCGTATTTATTGTCTCGCACGACTTTTCTCACAGATCTTCATTAAGACTAAACGGTACTCCCGAAAGATGTCCTATCAACCGTGTCGGTGAATTGCTGCGCCCAGAGAACCCCACAGAAGCCCAGGCCCGGCGGGTACCTCCAAACTGAGCGGGTCTCCGCTCCTCCCCACCCTTTTCCCCGGCTCCCCTGAGCAAGAACCTGGAGCCAGGGAGCGCGCCGGTAGGGACCTTGTTTAGGAGGGAGCGGGGTCACCCGGCGGGACTGGATGTTGCAAACGGCAAGGCTATTTTTCTTTCCATTTATGTACTTCCAAATGAAGCAGACAGTTTCATTTAGACGGGAAACTACTGTTATTTGCTCGGTGTCCCATTTTGGTCCTTCGTCAGCTTTGGTTGAACGTAATGTCTTGAAACCTATTCCAAAAAGATGCTTGCACAGTCTTCCAGATGCTAAGACTTAGATCATTTGAACGTCAGCGCTGCCTTCTGGTAACAGAAAACATCCAAATGGATTTCGTTCGTGCATTAACATCCGTCAGATGGGAGGGTAGCACAGTTAAGAGCTAAAGTCTGTTTCTATCGTTTTAGCAACCGGGTCCACATGAACATATCGGCTGGCAAGTCAATAGGTTGAAGCTACAGTGAACAGACTGAGTCTAAATATCTGAAATGCCTTGGAATAGCTGTACTAACAAATAGTGACTTAACGTATGAGGCTATTACCGCTGTTTATATATAGCTTCGTGTGTGCATGCAAATAGACGGAGAGGGGGGTCATGGTGGGGAGGGACAGCTATAAAGGCACCCGGTGAGCTGTGCACCCCCGGGATGCTGGCTGAGCCCAGCCCCACTGCGAAGTGACGCCGGCGAGTCCCGGCTCCGTGTTCCGGTCACTCTGGATGAAGGGCCACTGGCTACGGCTCGCCCTGCCACCGCTCGGCCTCCGCTCCCTGCCGTCCTGCTAGGTAGGGAATGTGTAACGCCATGTCCGCCTATGTGGCCTCCACGACAGTAATAATGAAATAAAGCATGACAATAGTTAGGCGCGACGCAGCAGGTGGCTTATTATAAGCCTTGCATATTCTTCTGCCTCCTGTTCCCATTAAAGCAACGGTAACTGAGGAAAAAAAATATTTTATGCGCTCTGGAGAGTAAGCGGAGGAGCAGGGAAAAGTCAGCGACTGCTCTGCCCAGATGGGCCGGATTCCCCAGCTCCCCGGTCCCCGGCACCGTCCGGCAAAGTAGCAGCAATAACAACCGTGGTGATTATGATGACAACAGTAATTATTACTCTTGTACCTTGGCGCGGATGTCCGCTGCTGTCTCAGGGAAACTTAAGAAGAGAGCAAGTCCCATGAAGGCACCTCACTCTCATTGCACGGTCAGCCACCTCCCAGCCCTGGCACAGACCGACGGGTTCAGCTAATCCTGCCCGACGGTGCTCCCGCTTTTGCCTGGAATGGCTTTAAACTTCCTGCTCGACAGCTTATTTCGTTAAAACCTTATTGTGAAAGTGTTCGCGGTCCAGACTATGGGAGCAAGACGAACTTGCACGGCCCCGGATCCGGCAAAGCAAACTCTGCGTGCTCAGAGCTGCCACTCACCTGCCCCAAACCCACTCTCCCCGCAGTGAGATATTGCGGCTTTTCAGTTCTCGGCCAGCAGCGCTCCCCCTCCCAGCCCGCCACCTCCCTGGCTGGGCTCTCCAGGTGAGCTGCTGTCAGCTGGCCTGCGCTCTCGTCGCAGGTCCCCGTTAGCAGTGCCTGCCGCCCCCCCCCGTCTGCTGCCCTCCAAGCCCTGCCCGCGGGAGGGCGGGCGCGGTGCTGCCGTGGGGCCTCGGCAGCGGGGGAGCCCGGGGCGGGGAAAGCGGCTCCCCGTGACACCGCGCTGTGACCCGGCCATACCTAGCTCCTGTCTGCTGGCAGCTCCGGCGGCCGGCCTGCCCCGGGGCGCCCAGCCGGACCCCCGCCCGCCCGGCGATGCGCACCTTGGCGGGGAGCGGAGCCCTGCCCCCTCCGCACATGGCCGGGTCTCCGCTCCCTGACCTGATCCACGGAAGGCCATTAGCATCCCTTGCTTGCCTTTTTTTTTATTACCATCTTTTAATAGATTACCAAGCCGGCCACGTAGACCTCAGGGTTACATGGCTCAGGGGAGAAGAACTGAAACTGTCACCGGAGTTAAGAGAAACAAGCAAACAAAACCAAAGCACGGAGTCATCTCGTGTTCTAGCTCCAGAAGGAGCTCCCCGACCACCCGGCCCTTGCCGTAAGCCCCTTCCTGCAGGAGCCGCCCCGCCGCAGCCCCCCCGGGAGCTGCCGGGGTCCGGCTCCCGCCTCGTCTCCGGCTCCGGCGTGTCCCCCCCTCCCTTCTCTGAGGAGGGAGGCTCCGAGCACGAGAAATGACTCCCGACTCTCTATTTTTCTATTGTTTTCAGCCGGTGGATCAATTGTCATCAGTACTGTCACCTAAGAAGCAATGATTCCGATTCATCTTGGCATCTGATTTTATTCTAATGGGTTAAATTGGGTTCACTTTTACAATTACCCCAGGTCTGACTGCGTAGTATTGCATGACAACTCACAGTTTCATCGGGTTTGGCAAAGCGAGGCTGCTCCATGAATCCGTATATCATATCACATCAGATCAGGCTGAAGTTTGCTGTTTAGCGACTCCATTTGAGAGGCTTTTTATGAAAGTGGGAAGGGTTGATGCAGTCCATGGCTGGTTCAGTGCGATTTGAAAGGAAAAAAAATGTGGCGAGATGGCAACAACACGGGGTTTGCTGCTCAGCTGTGAATAAGCACAGAACGAAAAAAAAGACATGATGGGGGAACGCTCAGCTTGCTGCAATATTTTTAGCAGCCTCTCAGTCCTCGCCTTTTTTTAATTTCCTAGTATGTTCTTTGCTTTATTAGTTTTATTTACAACCAACTCCCCATTAACACCTCACCTGATTACTGAGGAGCTGAGACAGCTAATCAAGAAAATCCAGCAAACCAGCCAAAACTGAGAGGTGGGATTAATTTTTGCTTTCATTCATTCTTCTTCCTTATTTATCTATTTGGGTTTGGGAAAAGATTTCGAAACAAACAGAAAATAAGAGGCAGGTATAAGTGTATGTGAGAGGTCAGGGGTTAGAAATCCACGTCAGTTCTATATTAGAGGCTATGTAGGGGAGCGGGGGGGATCTTTCCACCAAGCAGCTTGTTTATTTTAATTAACATAGGGATCCTCTGCTAGGAACAAGGAACAACCTCCATCTACTGGCTAGATCATTGCGTCTTTTCTCCATCCAAAACCCATCCCTCATCACTCATTAAGGAGGGTACAATTTTGGAAGAAGCTTCTAAGGTCTCAAGGTAAGCTTCTGCATGAGCCTTTGCTAGCGATGCAGCTATTTGGACCTCACGGATGTCATTTGCGGGATGTTTCTTTGGCATGGTGACTCGTTTGGGTTTGCTTTGTGTTTTTGTTTGTTTGTTTGTTTTTCTTAAACAGCACAGAACGGTTGTTTCCCCAGGTGTATTCGCAGACAACATTTGGTGTATCTGTGTTTTCATCTAGAGAAATAGCAGCCTAGGAAGACTGAGCCATTCAGCTCAATTAGAGGGAAAAGAAGGAGGAAAAAAAGAGAAGAAAGGAAAAATAAACAGAAAAGAGACTGGGTTTTTTTTTTTTCTGTCTTCTTAATATATTTTTTCTTTTTGGCTTTTTAAAATATAATTGTTATTTTTAAATGGAGTAGCTCCTTTCACCTGCCTGTGAATAGAGCCTACTGGAAGGGAGTCCTTTTCAAAAGCATCAGAATATGATAGTTTCCAATGGCTTCTTTACAACCGGAGTGCAAACACGGTTACGGTTAGTATCAGACAGCTAAGAAGCTAATAATGCTGAGGTCCTGGGCGGTGAGCAGCTCCGTGTTAGACAATAACCCGACTCTCCCGCTTTCTTCTGGCCGTGTGCTCACTTGTTTGTGGTCAGTCACAGCACTCGGCTATGTGTCTAGGATTACTATGCAAAGTACCTAATTGTTTATTATTTAAATATCATCTCCTTAAGTAAATGAATACGTGGATTATTTTACATGTTTTCAGATTACCGGGAGGTAAGAGCATGCTGGAGGTTTGGGGTTTTCAATTCGACGATCCTTACAGTTCAAGATGCCCTGGGCTAGTGTTACTCGTGACGCCCGGGGGGGAGAGGGGCGGCAGTGCACTGGCCCTCCCCGCTTTCCTAGCACGGGAGTCCCAAAGTTGACCTGCGGTACACTCGGGAAGGCTCAGGGCAGGATAAAGACGTGGAATTCTAAATAATGCCGGAAAATAAAAAAAAATAAAAAATAAAAAAAAAGCAACCAAATTAAAACCAAACAACAACCCCCCCCCCCAATCTATTTAAATGCTGAAAACGACGTTAACTACATTTGATGCCCCCACCGAGAGATGCAACTCTATTCAGATTTTCCTTCTTTGTGTCTAGATTGCTCGTACTAGCCGGAGACTTCACAAAGAGATGAGGGTGATCATTATTAGCACTGTATTTCGCCACAACCTCGCAGACCAGAAAATAGTTAGGATTTAAAAATAGACCTGCCTTTAACCACCCGACTCTCAGGCAACAGGACTGTAATCTTGATGCTGTTATTACTACGAGCTTTAAATTTCTGGAAATAATTAAAGTGGAAGTGTCTTGAGAAGTTCAGGTACCTGACGGAGACGTGTGAAGTTCTGCTGCCCTTACGGGGCAGGAGGCTTGCTGACCCGGCCCCTGCAGCCTGGGACAAGCGATGGCCTCATCTAGAATGGACTAAATCCACACCATTTCGGCTCAAAGAACATCCCCCTCCTTCCCACCCCTCAACCCCCCTCCGCCTGAACGCCCTCCCCTTTCTTCTAATTACTGTTGGTCAATTATTAATTTGCATGTAGACCTTGTCCTAAATCCTCAGAACTAAACGCAAGCTCGTTCACGCTGTAATAGGCTTTAGAGTGTAGCCCGTGGCCAGGAAGAATAAGGGTTGTATCGCAAAGCGGATCTCAGTGACCGCATGCTGAAATCCATGCAGGGCACACGCTAATTACGAAGGTGGAAACGGCTCCGGGCAGGGCGGCAGCCGGCGAGGCAGACGCTTTACCTGTGGAAATCCCAGCAGCTATGTGTTTGTTCCCCCTCATCTTCGTTAGCTGGGGAGTCCGGGTATGGCATCACAAAAAGGAAAAGCCTGAGAGAGCCTGTCATGTTACTAAAACGTTCTGAAAATTGCACATGAGGTATCCTGCCCAAAACGCTGCGGCAGAAGGGGGTAAAAGCACCCTGCAATGAGAACACTACGAGGCGAAGTGCTAATGCAGATGGATTCGTAAGGGATAAACTGGTCGATTTGGATTTCAGATTCCCTGTCGTGTTCTTTGTGAGCTGTTCTTTCCCCTCCCCAAGCAAACCAGCAAACCCGTGTAGAGACCCCCGCTTCGCAGCGGCAACCTTTCACTACCAGCCTGCCTTGGAGCAGAGACATATTCTCGTTAGACGCGAGGAAGGAGAGCTCAGGAACATTGAAATAGATTTACCTTGATCTCCTACAGGCCTTTTGAAAACGGAGAAGTCACGTTTGATGCTAGCAATAAACTTTCCGTGTCCCTTTAGGTAAGAAGTGGTCTGCCAACATTAGGATATTGATCAGAAAACGTCTGGGAAAGCCCTGGCCTCATGTACTGGAGCAGCAGTAGCTAGTAGCATATCCCTAACAGTACCTGGTGGAGCAGAAAGAAAGGACCGTCTAATTAATTAAGTGTGCTCAGCCGGAGGAAGTTCAGTCATTTCGGACTTTGGTTATGAATCTGCCCAGGTATTCCTAACGGCGCCGTCGAGCTAAGGTAGAGACGGGAATTTAACAAGCAGTGACTTTGGTGTCTCGGGCTTGGATGGACGCTTTGGCGCTGCACCTGCGGACAGCACCTCAGAAAGCCCGAGACAGCAAACTGCAGAGAGGCGGAAAGAGACAGGATCGGTGTGCGCTCGGGGGGCGAGCTGCCCCCGCTTTAGCTGCCCGGAGGGAGCTGGGCCCAGCGCCCACCAAGGGGATCCCCCAAACCCCTGCTTCCCCCGCTCCCAGAGGGAGCGATGAGTTTGACCGTCCTCAGCGCAGCAGGGACACGGTCACGGCCAGGCGCGGCAGCGGGGAGCACACGGGGGGGTGGGGGGGGAGGGGGGGGTGTTGGTGTGTCGGCGGTACCTCCGCCAGGCACACGCAGGTGGCTCTAGCAACGCGGGCACCGTGGGACTTGCGGAGCCAGCACCGAGAAGCAGGAGCAGCCCGGAGCTGAGGCAGCGCGAGTTACACCTGACAAAATACCTGGAGGGGCATACAGGAATATTTCGTTCAAAGGGAAATAAACGGAACCAAACCCGAACGTGCCAGGAGAGTGGAAGGGTTATACTGCAGCTATCGGGAATAAACTCGTCTTCTAGGTGAGGGGTTTTTCACCTCTGTCGACAGCCGCCAACACAACCCCACACGCCAGGTAGGCACGCTACTGTTGAAGCAGGGTTTGCGGAGAGCAATCTCTTCTCCGACAGGCGTCCCCGTGTGTCGCTCCCCCCGCACCGCCTCTCCCGTCCCCGCCGTCCCGGGCGGGCTGCGGCTGCGCTCCCGCTGCCCCCGCGGGACCCAGGAGGGGAGGGGGGGAAGTGGCTTCTCCCGTCTCCCGGAGCAGCCGGGGCGCCTCGGAAGGGTGACGGGAACGGGGGATCCTTAGCGAACAGCTCCTGTATCCCGGATAGAATCACCTTGTTTATTTTTTCCTGATGGCTTGTTGTACTAATTGACTTGTTTTCTCCAAGGAAAGCCTATCTCGCCTCCTCCTTCCCAACACACAGATTTTCTGTATTCTCCCCCACACTCCCTCTTTTTTTTTTTTCTTTCCCTTTTTTATTCCAGACCGGGAGTGCTCTGCAGTAGACTATGGCTTGTGGAGGGATCTACCCGTTTTAAAGGAGATTCCCTTATCCCTTTGAGTCTCTTTGGTTTTATAGCTATTACTCTCTTATTAAAACACACACACATATACAACACATTGATTTCCATCCAAAAGGGCTAATTACATTACTTACAGTAAATAGCAGCCCTGCTGTCCAGGGTCTAGTGTGCCAACAGAGGAAAAAAAGAAATCCCAGCTTATTTCACTTGATTGACTTCATCTTTGTGTGAAATTGTGTTTTATGAGCTGTATTCTGGCACTAGGCAGAATATAGCAACATTCAATCTGCAAATAACATTAATTTTAGCTACTTAGGGGGAAAGAGAAGGGAGGAAACTGGCTGCCTGAATCTTGGGTTACATGGAAGAGGTGACTCGAGGAGCCCCTGAGGATGTCTCTGGGATGCTTTGGAAAGGAAGTGGGGGCTGGGGTACTTCTTTCACTAGTCGCGCTCGGGTTCGGTGTGGAGCGTCCCCCAGGGAAAGGGGAGCGAAGAACTGCCGCCAGGAAGATCCTTCAGTAAGAATCGAGGTGTCAGGAAACAGCCGGCAGCTGTTCCAGGGAAAGGCAAGGAAGAGTGTTGTGAAAAGTAAGTAGGAAAAGGAGAAAGGAGGGGAGGGGGAGCAGAGAAAGAGATTAGTCGGGAAGGAATGTATCTCTGGGTCCCCCGCACACAATGAGCGCTCTCAGCCCGCAGCCGGGGAGCGGGCAAGGAGACAGAGCCCCTCCAGAACGTTCCCGTACCGCGCCGCACGCCCCGTCAGGGCAGCCCGTGGAGAGGACCGGAGAGCCTGCTGCGGGTACAGGCGGGTCCCGCGGGATTGGCGCTCCCCGGCGGCAGCAGGGCGGGTAAAGCGCGGGTAAGGCTTCGATCCTCCCGGGAGCTGGGCGGGCTTTGCTCTCCGGCCGCCAAAGCCCGCGGCCGCCGTCCCTCCTGACCGCGGCTGCCAGGGCCCGGGACGCGGGGAACGGGCAGCAGTCTGACCGCTCCGTCCCGCTGCGGCTGCCCCACGGCGGCGCTTCTCTTCCTTCGCCCCTCCTCGCGACAGAGTTAGGAGCGGTGGTCGGTGCCAGCCCTAGGGGCCGCGGAGCTTCCCCCGGCGTGGCTCGGCGCAGGGCCCCCGGGCCACCCTGCCTCTCGGCAGGCGCCGCCAACTCCCGGGACTCCGTGTTTGGGGGGGAGGTAATAAACCCCACCCCACCCACAGACCGACTGTAATGTTTGTCACTGCTTGCCCATCACTAGGGGTTGAGAGGAGTATGACAGGTCTTTGTTGTCTGAATAAAAATCAGTGGCAGCTCAAGGGAGAGAACTCCTCCTACTAAATTATCAAAAATGGGCTGGCTTTAGGCTCTTAACAAATTGGACAGAGCTCCAGAAAGCAGCAGTCCCAAATCCAACCTACAGGCACTGGGAACTTTAAAGCAACCGGGGACTGCTGAAAATAGCACTTCTTTTTGCTTTCTTTGTATTCAAAACTATATCCTTTCCTGACCGATTCTACTGCCCTAGGTCCAAGTCTCTCCACTCAGGAGCCCCAGCTCTGCAGAACAGTATCAGATCCTTTAGCTCGGTTTTATTATTTTATTTTTTAAATTAATTATTATTACATTTCCTCCCCTCCCCCTTGTTTGTTTTCTGCACATCTTCAGGAAGCCCTCGGTGCTTGTGCAAAGAGAAGCTCCTGTTGCAACCTCCCTCCCTGCACTGTGTGCCTCGGTGTAAACATTTTGGATGATCTAAAGACTCTGGGGTCTGTATATGGAAATAGTGGGGTGCAGAGCAGAAGAAAATACTTGTCCTTTCCGTCCCCCAGCCATGCTTTTCCACGGGATCTCCGGAGGCCACATCCAAGGAATCATGGAGGAGATGGAGAGGCGATCCAAGACCGAGTCCCGCCTGGCCAAAGGGGGACAAATGAACGGCCGAGAAACGGTAAGAAAGGAGCTGGCACCCTTTGAAGGGAACCTCTGGCTTTGGGGAAGAGAAAGGAACTGCTTCTCTCTGCCCTTCCCTCCTACCCCTCGCTTGCAGAAAACCTCTCAGGGCTCCCTGTACACCCACCGTAGTGCCGGGGGCCTTGCGGCCAGGCCCAGTTACACATGTGTGTAATCGATGCTTTGCGTGTGCTCTCTGGGGTAACGGGAGGAAAGCTTTTTAGCTGGTAACCGGGGCGGTTTTTCTGCCCCTGCTCGGCTCGCTGCGGCCGCTCTGCCTGCCCGAGCGGGCTCAAGCTGGAGTTTCGGAGGTGTACTGTATCTTTTTTTCCTCACTCCTGGCACCTCCTAAATTAAACCGCAAACCGCGACCTTACTTGTAACCATTTTTAGTCCGAAATGTGGGATTGATCCAAAGAGGCACCGCTCTCTCTGAATGTTACGCACGCCGACTACCTTGCCTAGCAATGACATTCTTTTCTTACTCAAAGGACCAAAGTCTCCACAAATGTACTAACGGGATGGTGGAGAAACCGAGTGTCACGCTGTGTTTTGTGCAAAGCGAGATCTCCTTTTTTCCAACTTGTAGGGCTTCCGCTGATCGCGCACATAGGCTCTGCACACAAAGTAACGGCCTGGAAAACTGCTTTGAGGCTTTGAGCCATAGGGTCCTTCCCCCCTTCTCTTAAATAACCTCCCGCTTTGTTATACGAGGATTTGCAATGTAAATTTAACTCGCCCTTCCAATTGCTGAAAAAAAAAAAAAAAGTATAAGAGAAAAGAGGGGCGAGGAAGAGCTTCAGATTGAAAAATTATTGCGGAGTTGCCACTTTTAAACAAGTTGCGACTTTAGAACAAGATTTCGGGTTGTTCCCCCCCCCCCCCCCGTTTATCAGCAAACGCTGCCCGGGGTTTTCCGGCAGAGCTTTTGTCTCGGCGGTCCCTCCGTCTCCCTTTGTCCCGAGCGACACTCCTCGTGGGGAGCAGATTAACGGGAAATGGAAGAAGTTTCCTGATGAAAATACGCTAGGTTTGGCTGAGACCAGCTTGTGCCCACGTCCCTGTGGAGAGAGCGTTGCGGCCCAGCCCTTACACCATCCACCTGTCCCTTTTCTGTTACTCGTGTTTTAAATGGATTGGCTTGCTTTGGAGACGGAGGTTTTGGCTCGTCCAAGCGCGGCTGAAAATTTACTGGAAAGTCGGAGCAAGCCTGCATCCTCTGCCATAAAGTTTTGGTGCAGCAAAGCGGTGTTTTTCTACTTTAAAATGCCTTTCTTCGGCAGTGCTCTAACACTAAAACGCCAAAGTAAGGGGGAAACCACAGGCTTTAACTTCGGTACCTCAGAAAAGAATGGGCTCTACTTTTCTTCCTGAGGCCTAATCAGTTGTGTTCGCATATTGAAATGACATTAGATCGCTAGGAGAGGTTTAATGGGATAAACACGAAAGCTGAATCGCGGTAAACGGTTTCCTAGCGGGGATGGTCCCGGTTCCTCCTCAAACTTCCCGCCGGGAGAGGGCCGTCGGTCGCAGCGAGCCGTCATTCTCCGTGTACCGGCCACCGTGCCCAGCCCGGGGTGCCCGCTTGTCCTTCTCTCCCTGTCTCATCTCCTTGTGGTGTGGTTGTTTTGCAGAACATGCCCCCAATGAGCCCCGAGAAGCCTGCTTTGTGTGCTGGTTGTGGAGGGAAGATCTCAGACAGATATTACCTGCTGGCTGTTGACAAACAATGGCACCTCAGGTGTCTTAAGTGCTGTGAATGTAAACTGGCTTTGGAGTCAGAACTCACCTGCTTTGCCAAGGACGGCAGTATTTACTGCAAGGAGGATTACTACAGGTACAGCAATAAGTCCCCCCAGGTTCAAGAGCACATGCCCTCAAAAGGCATTATGAACCGAAGCGCTTTTTAATCCATACGGGCTTTTAAAGGTATATTTTCGCTGTCAGCGATAAATCCCGTAAATGTATCCCCTCCAAAAGGTCTCGCGCTTTCAAAACCTGAACGGATCCAGAGGGGGCACGCCGAGTGAGCGTGTGTACCGGTACACACACAGACGCAGGAGAAGACCCCGGGTCTCCCGCTGCTCTGCGGTTTCCCTCCGCAAATGCCAGCGTAAGACCCAGCAGAAGTTTCTCTGCGCCAGGAGTCTGCCAGTTTTTCAGCTCCCGGGAAGAGGGCCGGGGGGAAGCGGCAGCAGCGGCTGAGCCCGCGGCCCCCCTGCACAGCCCCGCAGCCGTACCGCCAAGCAGCCGGGCCGCGGGACCGGTCATTCGTTGCATGTGTACGTTACAGCTTTCCCGCTGCCCTTCTTGTCTTTGCACGGGTGCCGGGAAAGCGGGGATTCGTTTCTCCCCCTCCGCGTTTCTCCATGAGCAGGAGGAGCGTGAGGGCTCTTGCAAAAGTCCTAAGAGAACCTAATAGATCAGCTTGGCAGAAGGAGCAAGGTGTTTCCCCTGGGACCCCAGTGCTCACTCCCCAGTGGTATTTCCCACCAGACGGAGCGCCGGCAGCAGGATGGCAGGGACCATGGCCCACACTAAGGGTCATCCCGGAATGGGAGGGCGAGACGCCGGCGGCCGGGGGGGAGGCGGGCGGCTCAGGGCGAGGTCTGCCGTCGCCTTTCTAGGTGATGCCCACTTTCCTGTTTCCTTCAGAAGGTTCTCTGTGCAGAGATGTGCCCGCTGCCACCTTGGGATCTCAGCCTCTGAAATGGTCATGAGAGCCAGGGAGTCGGTTTATCACCTGAGCTGCTTCACCTGCACCACCTGCAACAAGACTCTGACCACGGGCGATCACTTTGGCATGAAGGACAACCTGGTTTACTGCAGGGCCCACTTCGAGTCCCTTTTGCAAGGAGAATATCCCCCCCAGCTGAGCTACACCGAGCTGGCTGCCAAGAGTGGAGGGCTGGCCCTGCCCTACTTCAACGGCACGGGCACGGTCCAGAAGGGCAGGCCGAGGAAACGAAAGAGTCCTGCCTTGGGAGTGGACATCGTCACCTACAACTCAGGTGGGAAACACACGCCGAGCCTCCCTCCCGCTCCCCGAAAAGGGCGTTTTCGGGCTTCCCCTTAGCTAGGCAGTGCGCGAGGAACTCAGCCAGGCCAGATCCTGCTTAACCATTGGAAAATCAAACAAACAGCCCTCTGAGGGCTGGAGCGTTTGCAGGAAAGCTAACAGCAGCCCTCCTCAAAGGCTGTCTTTGCCTATTAATGTCAAACACCCGAAGTTAGCCACTTCCCATGGTAAAGACAAAAAAGAAAAGAAAAAAAAATCCCAGCTTCAAACCCACAACTCCCTTGCTCTAAGAGAACTTCAGATATACTGTTATGATTATTTGTATTTTAGTATTATTAAAAAGTACTTCACCAGTTAGACCTCAAATTTGAGGTAATCAAACGAATCAGAAAAAAAATAGATTAAAAGTTATAGTACATGGCTCCTACAAAGCTAATGCAGTAAGCACACAATTCCACTTAGATAACCAATTTATAAGAACTAACTCTTCAGGCTGAATAATTCTGTTTTACTGGCAGATAAACGAGCGAACTGTACAAGAGGCCAACGAGTGCTGTTCCCTGTAACTAAGCCCTAACAAATGTAATTAAGGATAACGTTTTCTGCTCTTTCAACGGTAGGAAAGGAGCAAGTGTTGTCCTGTATTAAATATCTTCCCTAACTTCAGTTACTGAAGTACCCAAAATGTGTCTAAACACACAGTGTTAGGGACCAGAGGTACAGGGGTCGCAGGTATGGTCAAGCCGTTTAGGTGGCGTTTAATTAGATGGAAGCCGAAAGCAGTAAGGGAAAACCCGAATTAACAAGCCACCTTCTCCAAACATTGCTTTAGTGAAACGCAGGCTCCCCATGAACGGTAAGGAGTAAAGAAGGGTGTGGGAAGTAAGGGTGGTGCAGGGCCCTTCCCTATAAGGCGGTAGCCGGGCAGCTCCAACCCCGGAGCACCTCTCTGGGCAGCGGCGGAAGGCTGGCCCCTCCGAGAATCCGGGAGAGGATCAGTCAGGGCCTCCCTCCCCTTCCAACCAGCGCAGGTCGATAAAAGTGCATCGCTTTCGACCCGGAGGTCTCTCCCCTCCACCCAAGTTCAACCGGCCACAAAAGAGATTCCTGAGCGACCCTCCCCCGGCATTCCCTCTCCTCCCAACAGCAACTCGGGGCTGCCTGCGGAAAGGGCTTCAGCTGGGAACCGGGCGGCTCTGCAAGGCCATTTCACCTCCTCTGGTGCTGAGACCTTGGAGCAAGGGTAATCACTACGCTAATTGTTCCTTGTTAATTGAAGATGACATTGGAATCCCTGGCTACGGAGCGGTTTCCAATCAGTCCTGAAAGCTCCTAAAGCAACGGGAACCCGCAGCGCAGCCAGGATTCAGGATTCGTTCGATCCTCGCTCTGAGCGGCGCATTTCCCGCCTGTTCACTCTGCTATGTCTGACCCGCACCCCAGCACTCTAATTCTCCCTATCCCGAGATGGAAATTTTAGCAGGGACTAAATTGTCCCTGTAAATTCCGTTAGAATTAGGACCAGAATTTAGGGAAAAATGAAAAGTTGTAGATATGATAAAACACCCCTTAAACTTCAGGTCAGGACTCCAGAGACACATAACATGCAAACGCCGTCATAGCTTTTGTGTGTTAGTCTTAAAACTCCCCTTCTGTACAACAGGGGGGCATATAAGATGTGCCTCTGACTCCAAACGAGTTTAAGAGGCACTACCCGTTATGAAAATACAGCTCACTGCATTGAGATCTCACAGAACCCTCGGGGCAACAGAGAGAAAAAAAAGCAGTGTGTTGCTTTGGACGCAGGCTAGATGGCGGAGACATTTGATCTGTTAGAGCCGTGATTATTGTTATTATTTTTAAGTATTATCTAAAAATGACCAGGGTTGACACATGGTCTCGAGAAAATACAGTTTGCAGCCAAACTGTACATCCGGCGAGAACGACTCCAGTCCATTGACCTACTGAGCTTCAGATCCAGTGGGAGTAAACTGAATCTGTAACAGTTACAAAATGAGTTGCAGTAGGTGAAATCGCTGCTTGAAAGAAAAAATAATAATAAAAAAAAATTCTTAATAATTGGCAGTCACTGTCCTACACGCATTTTCCGTTCTGCCTGTGACTCGGTAACTGCTCATGCACGTAATCATTTACAAAGGGCAACCAGTCCACAGAAAATTAAATGTTGGACCCCTGAGTGCCGCCTTCAGACGGAGAAGTGAGGCAGAATCTGGAGCCGGACGACTCCTCGCAGCTCGGTCCTTTTCCTCCGAGGCCCCGGCACCGCGGGCCGCTTGGGCGCCGGCGGGGCTCGCAGAGGAGCAAGTCTTCCCTCCCGGGCCAGGGTCCCCGCGGCCTCCCCGGCTCGGAGAAGAGACCCGAGGGACACAGGCGCAACCCTGTTCCGTGCATCCGCGTTAAAGCACACATGGGCCAGGAAGCTGCGCTCCGCCCCGGCGCTGGCAACTTCTTAAGTGACTGCTAAAGTTTACTCTTGTCTCTCACTGTTCGGTGAGAACCGCCAGTTTAACTTCCTCAGTGAACCCAGGCCTAAGTTTACTGGGTTTATCGAACCGGTCACAGCTTAGGGTGCCCATATCGATATGGCAAGCCGTTGGAAAGGAATCCGACTTTTAAAAACGGAACTCTGGTTAGGCTAACAACTTCACCAAGCTGCGCATAAACACGTGTATTCATTCACCAGCGGCCTGGCAGTACCCTGCTCAGGTTTGTGAGAACATTGCTTTCAGGGCAGCTGAGCACAGGGCCAGAAAGGCAAATCAGATTCTGCTGTCAGATCGACAACAGCTTTTCTATTCTGTATTTTGTTTAGTAGTTTAATTTCTGCTTCTCAGCTCCTTGGTTTTAAAGTGGAAACACAACAATAAATAACTCAAAATGTTATGAGGTAAAAGCCATTCATACTTGTGAGCTGTCTGGAGTTAATGTGAAAAATGGAAGAAACTATTCAAAAGTACTTAAAACATTGAAGGCTTTCTCTATATTACCTCTTATATCATAGAATTAATATGTATTTTGAGGGAAACCATGTTGACTTACAGCCCACAGGATATAGAAATGAGATGGTGAAGAAGATTTCCCTAGGAAAATATTTTACACAGCTGTTGCTCAAAGAGCTGTTTACATTATTTCACTATATATATGTGTGTGTGTGAGTAAAACTATGAAGAGTTCGCTTGAAGAACTCTTGGCAATAAAAAAGCAAACTGTTCTAGCTCTTTCCAAAGCAAAATTACAACACCCCCCCCCACCCCCCCCCATCCACTGAAAAGAAATGAGCTTTGCCTCGTTTTTTGCTTTTCCTTAGTTATTCAAGCAACAGTGTAAAACTCTGCTGTATGTTGTGGCCAAACCACATAACACTGTTTCACCCATGTAGAGTCAGACAACTGTTCTATAAACTAGGAGCCCTCTTTCTATTTTCTCTTGAAAATGAAAGCTAAAGTAGATCACAGACGAAAAAGTACATCACAGAAACAAAGGCAGTAAGCAGGACAGAGGACCCCAAAGAAGTTTGCATTGCTGCTGTAAACCTGAGCGACCCAAGAAAAACAACACAAACAAACAGCTTGCAAGTCTCTGAAGTAAAAACCCAAGGACTGAATTCTGGTACTCTAATTTATGTCAGCTCATAAGTTACAGCCCACGTATAGTTTGACTGAAGGCAGTGTGATTGCTTGTGAAAACAAGTAGTAAATACAAACCAAATCTGGCCTGAAATTGTTTTTAAAGCAACTTTCAACTCCTGGTATTTTCAGAAGTGTCAGCTTACTTTGAAAGTGCAGATACACTTCTTAACAGGGCTAGAAGTAAATCTAGCTATAATTAAATATTCACCTGATTTTCTGTCAGAGCGTTGACTTACCAGCATCTGTTCATGTTGACTTGTCTTATAATTCAAAAGAGAAAACACCTTCAAGAGACTTTTTATTTTCTCCTAGTTTCAGATTGCTTTGCCTCTGTTTTTAGCCCTGTCAACATCAGTCTCTCTCTATTGGGTGCTTTCCCTCTTTCTCCTTCTCTCTCTCTTTTTCTTTTCTTTTAGAACTACGGATCAACTAGGCCTAGTAAATAATCCAACAATTGTTGGAAAGCAGTTCAAGAATTCAAATGGGCAACTAATGAAACTTGCTCTAGTTTACAGACATTCTGAAACATTTTTCATTAGCTGCTCTTTAATTAATATTCCTTGCTATGATGACACCATTAATTTTCTCCTCTGTGACTGAGCTATCTTTATAAAGATATGAGATCTTGTGAATTCTTGTGAATTGATAACAGGTTTTTTTTTTGGGGGGGGAGGGGGGTTTTGTTTTTTTTTTTTTTTTTTTTTTTTAAGCAGAAAATAAAAATATAGATGTCTGATTTTTTATTTTTTTTGCCAATACTGCAATTTCTCTCCCTCACAAGAAGCAATGATACCATGGTCTCTGAATAACTCTTGTGTACAATTCACACCCACCAAAGTGTAATCTGAAACAAATCCATCTCTCATAGGCACTTTGAAAATCCCGAATAAGGGAAAGCAGGAAAACTCTTCTCGAGTTTTGAGCCACTAGTTGGTTGCTCATGGAAACATCTTAAATCAGTACCAACTAAGTGATATTGCTGATTGGGGTTGAGATTGGGGAACTGAATCAAGCCTTGATGCAAGTTCTTTCTAGACATGTTTTACAGACAAAAGTCTTTGAGCAGCTCATATAAACTCCCAGGCACAGTCCAAGAGCATCTATTTCATCAAGAAAACCCTCCAAATTTTATGCTTTCTGGAGGAACTGTCATAACAAACTTTCCTGCTGTACATCTCTTTTTTTAGGTGCTTGTGATGTGGGGGAAAAGATCAGGAACTTTCAAAATGCTGGTTTGACCTTTATTGTTCTCTCAAGCTAAGAGTGTTTCTGTGAGTGAGATTTCAAAATCTGAATGAGATTTCAAATGACTCTTTGAATGCCCAAAGCAAAACTATCACCATAGGAAAAAAGACTTGTTTGAAAATAAATGCCAAAGGAGAGAGAACTTTCTAAGTCTGCCTTTAGCAGGTACAGGCTGGGGGGACATGATGTGTTTAAGAATAGGAAAATGTAATCTTATGTATCTTTTTTGTCTCATTTAATTACCACATCTTTACTTATTCTTGCACCATCTTAGCCCTTCCTTACTTGTTTCCTTCTTATTTTGCCTGTTTGCTTGTTTGCTTGCTTCCTTCCTTTCCTTCTTTCCTTTTTTGCTTGTTTCTTTTCTTCCAAACAGTATGTGACTCAAGATTTTTGCCTCTATCATTCACCCTACCTGATGCATGGCCACTAACTCCTGGTTTCATTTCGTTTATTGAACAGGTTGTAATGAGAATGAGGCAGATCACCTGGACAGAGACCAGCAGCCTTATCCCCCATCCCAGAAGACAAAGCGCATGCGTACCTCCTTCAAACACCACCAGCTTCGTACCATGAAGTCCTACTTTGCTATCAACCACAACCCAGATGCCAAGGACCTCAAGCAGCTTGCCCAGAAAACAGGGCTGACCAAGAGAGTTCTGCAGGTAAGATGCCACATCACAGGCTTGACAGAATTTTCCCCTACCCCTACCAGTCAATAGCATTTCCCTTATGTGTAATGATAATGATATATGTAGAAGTACTCCCACTAGGTGTGTCCCTAGTGGGTGTGCAGAGGGGTATGTGCCAAATGTGCCATATGTGCCAAATATATGCCCTACTGCATCCAGGCAGTCAAATACTACAATGTGAGTTGCAATTAGTTGCACCCTCAGCATTAGGAAACTGTCTCAAGTGTCTACTGACCCAGAAGGATTCCTGGGATCTGTAGTCTCTCAGTGGTGACCTTATTAAGGGCAGAGGTAGAAAATATACAAAATTTATACACACTGGGTGAAGCCTTTGGGCTCCCCTGAAATAGTTAATATGGCCCCTCAGTGAGCAGATCCCCTGATACGTAGGAAGAAAGCTTTGGCCAATATGATCCTCCATGAGCAGCCGGCTCCTTCTCTCAATGCATGTTAGACAACTGTTACCATTAAGGGCCTACATAGTAAAATGTCACTTCTCTGTGAAGGACAGCCTAGAAAGTTACACTATAAAAACACCCCTATACAGTGCTTACTATCTCAGTGAAGTTAAAGCGAAGTGTATATTATACGCAGAGTGCCAAAGAAGGGCAGCGATCGAGGTAGAAGTAGAATCTATTAGCTGCAATTCCTTGTCTGTGTTACATGTTGCCTAAAATCATTTTCAGTGAGCCTTGCAGAACAGAGACTAGGTGACCTCTATCAACAATGTGTATGATAGGGATGTTGTAATTACCCCTCCTTCCTCTTTGGTCTTTTAAAATGATCAAGGCAAACTTTCAGCCTTGGCAAAAATCTGCTCATTCACCCTTTGCCTCAATCTTTATGTGTCTCGATCCCAAACCTACCCAAGCCAAGAATACACTACATGGACATCAAGAAAGTTGCTTTCCTTGGGTGAGTGAGTGAGCAGATTTTTTCTTAAGGCTGCTCTATGAGGTCTGCACACTGGGCTGCAACATTCCAGTGAGCACCTGTAGCACTGGGCCTTGTATGCAGGGTCCTGCCTGTGAAGGGGTCAATACCACCAGTAACAAGGGAAGCTATAGAGGGACTTAGTCTATTTGCCACACATGACCAAACACCAACAGTTACTTAAAAGCACGAACGAAGACAAAAAAATAACAAAACAAAGCAAGCATCGGTAAAGAAATCAATTGGGATTGGTTTGCAGGTTTGGTTTCAAAACGCAAGAGCCAAATTCAGAAGGAACCTTTTGCGGCAGGAGAATGGGGGTGTCGATAAAGCTGATGGCACCTCACTACCGGCACCGCCCTCAGCAGACAGCGGCGCACTCACTCCACCCGGCACTGCGACCACTTTAACAGACCTGACCAATCCCACTATCACTGTAGTGACATCAGTGACCTCTAACTTGGACAGCCACGAATCCGGGAGCCCCTCACAAACTACCTTAACGAACCTTTTCTAACATTTCAGTTTGGTTTATTTTTTTTTTAATTCTTACTCTTCATTATTATTATTATTATATTATTATTATTATTATTTTCAAGCCTTTTTTTTTTTAATAACAAACCCACAAAATATTTGGGAAAATAAGCAGCTTCATGTGTAGCATCTGCAGCCACTTGGCAAGTGAGTTTGAAGTAATATATTGCTATAATAAATGAACATTTATTGTTGTTAAATTGTACTCAAATTTTTTAAATTCATCAAATAACTGAAGAGAAGGTTATGAAGCATTTTAATAAGTGCCTCTTAAAATTGTATGTTACTTATTTCCAGTACCTTGAGAAAAATGAGTATTGCCACTTAAAAAAAGAGTCTTTTCCCTCCTTGATAATCAGATAGGAATCATTTTAATTGTAGCCAAAACAATGCTGCTTCAGGACTGAATGTTTACTTACAGCATTTAAGAACCCAAAATTTTACTTAATTTTTATGACACATCTGAAAGTTTTCAAATGTTGAAAAAATAAAATGAATTAAAGTTCTCATTGGAACAGTCAGACTGGAAGTGCAGTGCTTTTTTCTAAGGCGCTAGTCACAAGCCTGATCCTTCCTGAGCACTGGGGATTCTTACTGGGATAGCTAAATTCTCCTCTGCCAGTTCTTCACCCAGCTGGAATGTCCTTGGCCACCACTGAAAGCTGTGCCTGAGTGGAGGGTTTGGAGAGAGAGACCCAGTGATGAGCGTGCATGACAGTGAGGATGGCAGGCTCAGGCTGATGGCCTCCAAAGTTGTGTCCTGTACAAGGACAAGGCAAGGAGGCATGATCCAGAAAACACTGGATACAAAATGAGCTCACTCCTATAGATGTTAAAATAATGACAGCCGAATAACAGTTCAAGTGAGGAGTCCTACTGATTCAAAATATTGCATAGGGAGAGGTTTTCATCTTTGTCAAGCAGCTCTGATTTGGAATGAAAAAAAAAAACTAGAGCAGTTCACTACATGGCCTTGATACTGTATCATTAAAGCAAACAGGAGGTTGCCACCTACTTTAGTGAGCACATAAATAATTTCCCAGAAGAAGTGTGCATGTGTGCTAAGTGAGCTTTTGATAAATCATACTTTTTTTTCAGGGAAAATGGAAATAAGCAAAATATAATTTAATAAGATGTTTAAGAAAATTTATTTCAGTACAATTTATACATTACTATTTTGAATTTACTTTAGATGTTTCCTGAGATTGTATCAGACACTATGTTTAACACATGAACTAAAAATCTTTTGTTCATTAGTATCTCTAACATATACTTTAACTTTTTAAACTTTTTATTACAGAAAAAAAAAAGCTAGCAAAAATTCTTACAAAAATGGGAATTGGCAGTGAATAATTTCAAAGCAGATAAACTCAGAAGCCTTGTGGATGCTGATCTGAATACATTTCTTAGTTTACAATAGTGATCCTTCTTTTTTTAATTTTATTTAAGCTAAAAGTCTGAATGGTCTGGGCAGTGGTGAATGTTCATTTGTATCCTTTTATTGTAGTTGAACACCAATTAGATTGTGGAGAGTCTCAGAAACAAAATTGAACAAAAATCAGTCAAGATCTATGTCTTGCTTTTAGTGGATTGTTAAGAATAACTTTGCACATATATCCCACTTTTTTAGACACCATCAAATCTCTTTTTTTGGTGGTCAAAGTGGCTATTTAATATATTTTAAAGGTGTCCTTTTTGGCTGTATAAATGTGTGGTTACATATTGACAGTTCACTGCCCACATTAAAGTGCATTATTGTAATTTTTGCTCAGGGTTTTTAGAAAATTAGCACAGAAAAGTAGCTTATTTTTAAAAAAAGATGATGGAAGAGATGTTAACACTGTAATAGAAGAAAGGTGTGTTTGCCATTATATATTTAGCAAGTATGGTTATCATCTTCTATGGATATTAAATCTTGACTTTTCCTATTTCTATTACCTTATGGGCATTTACCACTAACCAGACCAAACAACCTTGGTAAGGCTGAGATCTTTATTAATACACTTTTACAGGTAAAAATATTGATACTTATAAATTTTGTTCTTTGACAGAACAATATATGGTACTAGAGATCTACTTTATTAAGTAGACTAATTGAAACTCAGTTCTACTATGTGCCTTATGATATACCTTGGGAGTAAGTTTGTGAAAAATCAGGATATATGTGTTGTTTGTTAAATTAACTGTTTTAAGCCCTTTTGACACCTCACTAGTTTTGTACTGTTTTACCTCTTATTTCTGAAACTCTTTTTATGGTGTATCCTGTTAGAGGGGACAAACATGTCATAGAAAGCAGTTGTGCACTCTTTCAGATATAGTTGATAAATCCAATAATCTTATATATTGAGCTTCGTGTTTATAGTACAGTAAGTGGTCTAGCAAAATTGTCCATGTTTCTTTGTTTATTGATAAATGCATTGTATAGAAACTATTTCCCCTAAATATTTATGGACCAAACAATTGTGATATATCCTATTAAATTTGTGTGAATAAACCATTTTGAATCTAAGGAGTTTTATTTCCCATCATTTTTTTTTGTTTGGTTTGTTTTGTTTGTTTCTTTTTATTCCTTTTAATTTAAAGTCTACATGTACTAGTGTGTCTCTTTGCTTTTACGGTACCTGTGAACAATTGGTATTAAACACGGAAACACGGCCTTTTAAATATTTTTAAATATGGTTCTTTCTTAGGTTTTCAATTTCTTCATATTCAATGTATATGCTAGTGCTGGTGCAATTTAGCTTTTAGCCTTTTAACCTTTTTTGAACATGCAAAGTAATGCCCCAGTGATTTGATACTGAAACCCTGCCTTAGACTTCTAAAAAAAAAGCCAGAAAACTAGCAGCTAAAGTAATTGCATGAAAAATACAACCTAAATAATATAATGAAATGAATCAAGATTTAATGCTAGGTATATTGAACACAAAATAGAATTGCAGACCCCGAAAAGCCAGGTTGCTCTGTAGTTTAATAAATTGTCACTATGATTTCTTTCAGGGAGAACAAATCATGGGGCATTACAGCCAAACATCCCGACGTTTGAAAATTCCCTAAAGTATTAAAAGAAGGGGAAAAGTTTGATCGGAAATCCACTGCAGTGAAGACAAAGACAATATTAGGTTATGATAATCATACATTTAAAAATCTATTGAGCCAAAAAATAAAAAGAAAAGACTTGATGTCATTTCCTGAATGTTAACAAAACATATGTTATTTCATGGTGTCTAGTTAACAAAACTGAAGGCTTCAACAAATGGTGTGGTATTAAAAACAAATTTAGAGGAACTATGTATAAAACCAGAGCAACCTGGCAGCAATCTACCCAGTCCATATTTGAAGAAAGCTTTTCTTTAAAAACGAAATTAAAAAAAATCACATTTGTCAAGCACAAGTACTTGTAAAATAAAATCTGAGTGCATTCATTCCACTTGCTTGCTAATGTGTACTGGTCATATCTGTTAAATGGACATTTGTAAATTCAAAGAGAACTTTTCACTCATTTGAGACCATAGGAATCAAAATTCAGTAACTTTAGTCCTATTGTTTCTGAATTATTTTTTTTTAATGAGACAAATCTGCATGCACTTTTCCATCTGTCACATATAGTGTACATTTCTGTATGATGAATTTCTCTTTGCTGTTTCTTGTATAATAGCTTTCATTAATAAACATTTTGTTTGATGCAAACATAGTTAAATTTATGTAAACACATAGCTAATTGTTTCAACTAATTTAAACTTTTCTTTTCAAAAGAAGCAGTACAGTGCAGTTCCAATGTTATATATATCTAAAATCGAAATGAATGAGGTAGCAATACTGTTGCACAGTGTAAAATTATTTCCATTAGTGTTAACTTTTTAATTTTTTAAATTTCTCACATAAAACTGATGTGTTAAAAAAAAAATCCCATCAGCATCCACAATAAAACAATCCTCAAATTCTTCATCAATATAAGAAAACATAAGCAGTACAGTATGTAAAATTCTCAATCACATTTAGAGTACAAGGATATAATCTGTGGATCCCTAAGCTGTTTACATAGTCACTATGCAAGTATGTTACAAGAAGTTGGTCCTAAGTTTCCCAGTCCAAATCGCAGATGATTTTTACAAGCCAACAAACAAGTGTATAACAATAACCAATTCTTAATAATGAGGTTTTGTAACTGTTAAGCAAGTATTTGCAGAAAGATTTTTTAAAATATATTCCTATTTAGCTGTATAGCCAAAGGTATGTTAAACAAATTAACATATAAAAGACTTGCCAGAAAATCTTTCATTAAAATGACATTTTTATTATATACTAATGAACCCTATGTAAACAATGTAACTTTTATGAATGATGGACATTAAATATTTCACTTACGTGTATTCTCAGCATTTTGCATGTTTTCTTAAACTTTTCCAGTTTCTGAATTCTAAAAAGAAAACCATACAATTACTAACATAACACAAAGTTACGTACAGATTGCTGCAGTCATCTCTGGAAACCGGTAACCAAGAGTGTTCTAAAGGCAATAAAAGGTATCATTTATTGGTGGCAATTATGGGGAGCATTGTTTAAACAACAGTTTTATAGTATGTTGTAAAGTTCTATTGAAAAAAGTTAGCATGTTGGACTTAATTCAAATCAGCTTGATCAGAAATTTAAGTATATTGTGAAATTCTTAAACTAAGCCTTATGTGTATTTATTACTGCAGAAAGTAAGTAAATGTAGGAAAGCAATTATTCGTGTTACAGCAATAATGTGGTTTCCCCCTGTTGTCCATAGGAAAATATTACAAACAGTAATTATTCAAATCAGTAAAGAACTTGGTGGTGTTTAAGGCCAAGAAAAAAAAAAGCATGTACTGTAATTTTTCTTTTGTAAATCACTGCATTCTTTAATAAGTTCCTTCCCCCCAGTTGAATACTTATAGGTTAGACATTAAGGTTTGATTTTTCTTAACAACATTATTCTTTGTTTGGAGGTAGGTCTGTACATTGTGCTCTGACTGACCTGACTAGTTGCATTAGTTCTTTACCTTTCAAAAAAATCCAAATTCTTTTGAAAGATAAAGAACTGTCTCCTGCATTAAGACAGCAAACAGGTTGGAAAAGCAGAATTAAATGAGAAAGAAAGAAAGGAATAATTTCAGCTGAGATCTGAGAGAATGAAAGACAAATTTAAGTTTTCAGTATTGTTGAGAAATGTATTGAGGGTCGTTCTAGTGGACACATACCCATGTCTAGATGCAGCATTTCTTTGCACTCCTGGTCTTGAAAAATAAATCAAGATTGCGCAGTCCTGGAACACCTTATTCAGAATTACTGAAGAGAAATGACTTGCAAGACCAGGTCAAATGACAGAAGGCTGACACCACAGCCCACTGAAAGTGGTGAAGACTCCCTCCCTAATTCCATGGACTTTCAGCCAGGAGCTGAACATGGAGATTAAATTACTCTCTTGCCTCTAAAGAAAGCATAACCTTCAGAATGAGACAGAATATATAGGACAGCCATGCTGCTCCGTACTTTGGACTTCATTCTTCAAAGCTGCTAATCCAAGCACCTGGCACATGCATTAAATTGACTTCAAAATATTTCGTCCTCCTTCACCGAAATACAGGACACAAATTATACTGGAATTTCCAGAAGCTACTATAGTGTTGGAGACTTTATTCAGTCATTCTGCAATGTTGAGCAATTCTTCTGCACTTCTTACTTGACACAGACTTATCTTGACACATACCTATATACACATCCTTGTCTTGCCTTCACGTAACCAGTATTTTCATATTTATTTAAGTCATTCAAACCTACAGGAAGCAACTCTCCATGCTTACATGTGCTAGCAGAGGCAGTTGTCATAGTTTTTGGTTTGATACTTCCTTACAGTAAAACACTTCTTAGAGTAGGTTTTTTTTTAAATTAATTTTATATGTTTTTTTTTTTTTTTTAGTTGTTATAGCTTTGGACCAAAAAAACGTAGGGCTTGAAGCATCTATGTGTACAGATTATTTTGCCAGCTTTTCCTATAATATCTAGAAAAAAAAATCAACTGCAGTTGTTGAATTTATGGCTTGCACGTTACTATAAAAGCATTCTCCTTCACAAATTTATTTTATCATAAGAAATAATACCTACTACATGCAATTCTAATGTTAACTAATATGATAATATGAGATATTATAGATCTTTAGCTGCACTCATTTCTGGCTCACGTTTGCTTCTGGTTTTGGAAACGGAATTGCAAGCAAGCATTCTTTGATATTTCTGGTATTTGCTGTTGCTAGGAGCAGAGGGCTAGACTGAAGGTCTGACTTAGCATGACAAAAATCAGTGCTATTATCCAGTTTGCCCCCTTTTCAAACTGGACTTTACAGAGAATAAAAATACCACAAATAATTATTTTACTGCTAGAAAATAAGTTAGATATGCTTCCCTTCTGTACTTCCGTTACACACTTCAATACAGATTTCTAAGTCTGAACTGATGCACAGCCTTTTGAATCTTTGAGACTGCTTCATGTAGCAAATAAATAATAAGGGAAAGAACAAGCTAAGAAATTGTTATAAGCCTGCAAATACAAGCAGCCACTAGGAAAGATAGGTAGCTTTCTATTTATCATACTAAGAATCCTTATTTCATCATTTTCATTGAGGAATTTGGACTTGCCTGAGAGTAAAATGATTAAGTAGCTTGCTTTGCCACATGCCTTTTGCTCCTGCAACTGAGGTGCAACAGAGAACAACCTGCAACAAGAATTTTTCAGGAATAATTATTTAGCAAAATAACAAAATGTTGCTCAATATTCTAAAACCAGTAAAACAAAATGCGACTTCAGGAAAGCCAACAGCACTGTTTGTTGTTTTATCTTAAGTTATAAATATATACAGGATCATGATTTCTGTTCAATTCATAGAGGATAATTAACTTTTCCAAACAAATACATATCCCATCCCAACAAAGAGCTATGCATGGAGTGTTGGTAGGGACAGTAAGACAAGTTCAGAAAGTAACCAACTTTGCAGCTTAGAAGTGAATACTTAGGGCTCGGGCTGCAGCCACATGTGCTAGATAATACCTCTCGTTTTCTTTTCTGGCTGTCCAGCAGAGTAATTTTTGACTTTGTAAGAAAGAGTGGGCCACAGAAAAGAAAGCTAAATAGACATTGTAAAGTACGTGAATGGGATTGTGTGCCTTTTATGTGCCTGCTAGCACATTTGATCTAAAATGCTGCTGCACTGAGGCTCCAAATACCAGTCTTAAAGGAGCTACTGCTTTCATTCTGCTTTTTTATTTGAGGATGCCTTGCTTCTTGCATATGAAGTTATATAGACAAGCTATAACTGTATTAGCTGAAGTAATTTCCTACCACATTTTGTCAAAACTGTTCTTAATAATCAAATCATTGGACAGCTATATACATATATTTGTGAATCTGGCTGGAGCAGATTAAGAAAGCAGAGCTGTTGCTGCTCATTACAAACTATTAGAAAAAGTTTGTTCTCCCAGGAGTGCTTTCCA